TTCAGTAGTTGTGGCATGTGGGCTCAGTAGTTGTGGTTTGTGGGCTCTAGAGCACAGGCTCAGTAGTTGTGGCGCATGGGCTTAGTTGTGCCACGGCATGTGGGATCTTCCTGGACCAGGGCTCGAACCCGTGTCCCCTGCATTGGCAGGTGGATTCTTAACCACTGCACCACCAGGGAAGTCCCCCAACCTTTACAATTAGAGCAGCATTGCTTGGAGTACAGAATATTCAGGCATGTTTAATGATAATGTCCTTGTAATACATTTGAGAGGTAAATTCTAAAACAAAACTCTCACTGTCAGTTCTCCAGCCTGGAGAAGAGAAGCTTCATGTTAAGTTAGTGGTAGTATTGAAAATAGCATAACAGACTTGGAGTCTCGTCCATGTCCAGTCAAGAATGGTTTTAAGCTCTGATCATGCAGCTAGGAAAAAATTTCAGATGTACAGATGCAGAATGAGAAAATAAATTTACAAATTGTGGATTTCAACATCCCATCATGCTTTCTTCTCTATGTTAAAGGTAAAAGACGTTTTGACAGAGATCCATGTGGTTCTTGGTGAAGACTCTGGCCCACCAGGTAAGCCAGCTTATGGGCATAATGGCAAGGAGCAGGGACTCAGATGATACCGTTTAGGAGAAAGATCAACCAAAACAATTTTTTTACCTTTATGTCTACTTTCCCTAAGTTTAAATTTTTATAGATATCCAAGGTTCAAAAAGCAGATTCAATTTTGAACAGTTTCACAGATCTGAAGGAAAATCAGTATCAAAAAATACTTACCATAGCCACTTTGGAGAACAGTATGGAGGCTCCATAAAACTAAAAACAGAGCTACCATATGACCCAGCAATCCCACTCCTGGGCGTATATCCAGAAAAGATGAAAGCTCTAATTCAAAAATATGCATGTACCCCAATGTTCGTAGCAGCACTACTTACAATAGCCAAGACACAAAAGCAACCTAAATGTCCGTCAGCAAATGAATGGACAAAGATGTGGTATGTGTATACAATAGAACAGTACTCATTCATAAAGAATGAAATAATGCCATTTGCAGTAACATGGATGGACCTAGATATTATCATACTAAGTGAAGTAAATCACAGACAAATATTATTTGATATCACTTACATGTAGAACCTAAAAAATAACATACAAATGAACTTATTTACAAAGTAGAAACAGACTCACAGACACAGAAAACAAACCTATGGTTACCAGAGAAGAAAGTGCAGGGGGGAGGGATAAATTAGGATATAGGATTAACAGATGCACATTACCAAATTAAAGAAAAAAAATACTTACTGAAAAATTGTAATACATGTGGCATAGTTTGTAAGTTAGACTCTGTACTGCGTCTGGGCTCAAGTTAAGCGTGTCATGGATGACATTATAATGAGTGGGAGTGACAGTACCAGTGCCTTCTTTCACAGACTGACTCACAATAAAAAAGTCATACCTAGAATTATAGAACATAATTGGTATCAAGCTTATTTTAGAAGAAAAACAATGTAGCAAACCTAGTCTCTGAAGTAACAACTTACAGAAATCTATGATACAGAGTTTCCTTTATATTTAGAAGCCTGGCTAACTGTTGAGCAATGATTTGCTAAAGCAAATCTACAAAGGACAGTGAAATCATTGACAATTAATAACGCTCATGGGATGTAAACTCAAAAGCATATGCACTGATGCCTAGAGGCAGCAAACATCAAATTAGCACATTAGACATGGTCATAGGTAATGTGATTCAGAGATTCAGGGAAAGATGGGAATATCCATCCCTGCAAATCACCAGAATATATTCAAACTCCCTAAATTATATAAGTGGTAAGCTTAACCAATTTATTGTAAATATTGAATGTTTATATCATTTTATGTTATACTTTATGTTAATTGTACTTTTCATTTGCTTTGTTTTCTTCAATCCTTTCATGCCTTCTACTAGAAAAATCAGTGTTTCTGCCTTTCTTCAAATTTAATTCATTTCTCCCTATCTGTTGGTATGAATGTCCTGTTTTATTTCTTACTGTGGTTTTGCATAACTTTCTCATTTGCATAATTCACTTTACAAGTCTAAAGTTAACCAGAAGTTCTAGCCTTCTTCCTAACAACGGAATCATCTTAGAATGATCAATAAGTATTTGTCTGTTTTTAAAATTCTCTGAAAGGGCTTCCCTGGTGGCGCAGTGGTTGAGAGTCCGCCTGCCGATGCAAGGGACACGGGTTCGTGCCCCGATCCGGGAGGATCCCACATGCCGCAGAGCGGCTGGGCCCGTGAGCCATGGCCGCTGAGCCTGCGCATCCGGAGCCTGTGCTCTGCAACGGGAGAGGCCACAGCAGTGATGTCTTACCGCTAGGTTATTCATGACATTTTTTTTCTTAAATTTCATATATATGTGTTAGCATACGGTATTTGTCTTTCTCTTTCTGACTTACTTCACTCTGTATGACAGATTCTAGAAAAAAAAAAAAAAAAAAAAAAAGAATATACTTGAAATCAATGAAAAAATAGAAAATCTCGGCAAAGAAAGAGAAGATATAATGAAGAACCAAACGAAAAGTTTAGAACTGAAAAATACAATAATGAAAAATTAAAAGAAATTAATGGGTGGGTTTAAGATTAGGATAATGGAGACACAGGGAAATATCAATGACCTTGAAGACACAGCAATAGAAATTAACCCGTCTGCAGTCAAATGCTCTACCACTGAGCTATACCCCCAGAAATTACCCCAACTGAGCAACAGAAAGACAGCAGACTGATCAGTAATGAACACAGTCTCAGGGACATGTTATATTCACATCATCAGAGTCCTGGAAGAAGAAAAAGAAGGCGGGGTGAATAAGTACTTGAAAAAATAATGGCTGAAAAGTTCTCAAATTTGACAAAAGACACAAGCCCATAGATTCAAGAAGCTGAGTGAACTTCAAGCTGAACAGACCCAAAGAAATGCACACCAAGACACATCTTAGTCAGATTTCTAAGAACCAATGACAGAGAAAACAGTCTGGAAAGCAGTGAAAGAGAAATGACACACTATTTATCAGTGAAAAACTAAGTGATGGCGAATTTCTCATCAAAAATCATGCGAGCCAGAAGAAAGTGGCACACCATTTCTTGAGTACTGAAAAATAAGAACTGTCAACCTAGAATCCTAGATCTAGTGAAAATGTCCCTTAGGAATGTATGGGAAATGAAAACATTCTCAGATGAAGGAAAGGAAGAATAAAAGTGCTTTATTTGCAGACGACTTGATCGTCTATAGAGAAAAATCCCAAGGAATCTACCAAAAAAGAAAAACCAACACAAAACAAACAAAAAAACCACAATCCAGAGAACAACAAAACTCTAGAACAAATGATTTCAGCATTTTGCAAGATAGACATAAACTTACATAAAAATTAATTAAAATCAATTACATTTCAATAAACTACTATCAAAAATCCAGAAATAACAAAAATAAAATCACTGTATCAATAAAATAGTAATTAGGAGGAGGTGATCAGTTTATCCTGCACATAAGAACAGTCTGTGAGCTGGAAGCATTCAGACCCACAGTGGAATGAAGTTCAGAGATACATTGCTATAGAACTGCTTATACAGTGAAAATGCAGAAGTTGTTTATTCTTTACAAAGGTTGTTTATAGCATTGGGGTTTTTCCTAATGACAGGGGATTAGTTAAAAGCAGCTATCTTATTCCCATTTTGGAAAACAGTTTGTTTCATTTATGATTTTCAGAGGCATTTACAAGAAACAACCCAAGTTGAGTTTTGGTTACACAGCAGGATAAGCTAAATTAAGTATCAGTTATGTGGCTCAACAGGTTTTGTCTACTCGAGAGAATTTTCAAGTCCAGTCTCCATTTTGTATTTAATTTTAACACCAGCAATGAACACACGGACAAAATTAAAAATATTGATACAATTAACATTTACAACAGCTGAAAAAAAGAAATTCTTAGGTGTATTTCTAATAAAACATACACAGGATTTGCATGCTGAAAACCACACAACACTGTGAAAGAAATCAAAGATGATGTAGACAAAGGAAGCTGCATACCAGGGTCATGAATCGAAAGAGTCAACCTAGTAAACATATCAATTGCCTATGGATGATTTACAGGTTTAATGTAATTCCTATTGAAATACCAGCCAAGATTTTTATCGTTATAGATGAGATTATTACAATATTTATATGGAAAAGCAAAGGAACTAGAAGAGCTAAAACAAATTTTTTTTAAAAGAAGAAAATGGGAGGAATCAGTCACCTGATTTCACAACTTATTTTATAGGTACAGTAATCAAGACTTTGTGGTATCAACAGAAGAACAGGTGCATAGATCAATGCAAAATGATAGATAACTGAGAAATAGACCCACAGCAATATTCCCAACTGATTTTTGACAAAGGACCAAAAGCAATCAATGGATGAAAGATGTTCCTTTTCCAGAAACGATGCTGGAGCAATTGGACATCCAAAAAAAAAAAAAAAGCTACAACCTAAGTGTCACATGATACACAAAAAGTAATCAGAATGGATCACAGATATAAATGTAAAACTATAAAACTTTTTGGAAAAAATTCTGGAAGAAAATCTTTAAGATGTGAGGCTAGGCAGAGGCTTAGAACTGACACACCCAAAGTATAATCCTTAAAAGGAAAAACTGATAAACTGGACTTCATCAAAATTAAAATATTTTGCTCTGTGACCTTGTTAAGAGGAGGAAATAAACTGTAGATTGAGAGAAAATATTAGCAACAAACATCCAACAAAGCAGTATTGTCTAAATATGTAAAGAACTCTAGACATATCAGACATTACACTGAAGAACGGACAAGTACAGATTCTTTTAAAGCACAGATGTTTCTAATTTAAAAATCTTAGAATGTTTTAGGTCATATAGAAAGTTTCAGTAGATTCCAAAGACTCAGCATCATACAAACACATTATCTGTGTATAAAATAACTCTCAAAAATCAACAATAAAAAACAAACACCCTGGGCTTCCCTGGTGGTGCAGTGGTTGAGAGTCCGCCTGCCGATGCAGGGGACACCGGTTCATGCCCCGGTCCAGGAAGATCCCACATGCTGCAGAGCGGCTGGGCCCGTGAGCCATGGCCGCTGAGCCTGTGCGTCCGGAGCCTGTGTTCCGCAACGGGAGAGGCCACAGCAGTGAGAGGCCCGCGTACCGCAAAAAAAAAAAAAAAAATTTTAAAATTGGTAAAATTGGTAAAAGACATGAAAACAAAGAGGAATTTACAGAGAAAAAATAATTTTTGACATTCATTAGCTATCAGGGATGAAAACCACAATGAGATACCACTATATATCTGTCAGAATGGCTAAAATAAAAAATAGTGAGAACACCAAATTTTGCTGAGGTCAGAGAGGATCTGGATCACTCACAGATTGCTGGTAGAATGTAAAATGGTACAGCCACTCCAGGAAACATTTGGGCAGTTTTTACCGGTAAACTAAACATGCCCCAGCAATGGTGCATCTCTTTTTTCCCCAGAGACATGAAGACTTATGTTTACACAGAAACCTTGTACATGGATGTTTATAGCAGCTATATTCATAATAGCTAAAAACTAGAAAGAACCCAGATGTCCTTCAGTGGGTGAAAGGCTAAACTGACTGTAGAACGTCCATACTACCGAATAGTAGTTAGCCATAAAGACGAACAGACTATTTACCTAATATCTTTGATGAACTTTCAGAGAATTATGTGAGTGAAAAAAGCCCATCTCAAAAGGACTATATGGTGTAGTTACACAACATTCTTGCAACTACAGAGAAAAAAAAGTAGTGGAGGGGCTTCCCTGGTGGCGCAGTGGTTGAGAGTCCGCCTGCCGATGCAGGGGACACGGGTTCGTGCCCCGGTCTGGGAAGATCCCACATGCCACGGAGCGGCTGGGCCCGTGAGCCATGGCCGCTGAGCCTGCGGGTCCGGAGCCTGTGCTCCGCAGACCAAAAAAAAAAAAAAAAAAAAAAAAAAAAGGTATATTAGATGATAATTTTTTCTGTCTTCAATCATTTTGTTTCTCAGAGAATTTTATTTTTTTATTATTATTATTTTTTTTTTTGCGGTACGTGGGCCTCTCACTGCTGTGGCCTCTCCCGCTGCGGAGCACAGGCTCCGGACGCACAGGCTCAGCGGCCATTGCTCATGGGCCCAGCCGCTCCGCGGCATGTGGGATCTTCCCAGACCGGTGCACCCCTGCATCGGCAGGCGGACTCTCAACCACTGCGCCACCAGGGAAGCCCTAATATACCTATCATTTTTAACCTTCTTTAGGTCAATTCTTCCTTCTCGTCCAAATCATTCAAACCTTAAAAAATTCTGTTACTATTTGAATAAAAAGGAATCGTTAAAATAAATATGGCTTACCATTCCGTCCTAGTCACACCTAAATCAATAACCGTTCCTGGAGATGGATTGTTAAGTCTTCCTTCATCCTTTTCAATAAAAAATCTGATGTTTATTTGTTTCTTCACCATGAAAGTTAGTCTGACACTTAAAAGGTTATGATCAGTGTCACTCTGTTTGCTCTGCGTTATCTCAGAAGCATTCAGAGTGTCGAAAACAGCCCACACGTAGGAGCCATTAAAAGGAGTCTGCAGATGGTAGCTCTCCACACACCCCAATTTTACTGTCTTAGATCCAAGAGCCTGATTCAGGAAGTAAAGGAGGAGGTTTCTATTCATACCCATTCAGATCCTAGGGGAAGGGTCCCTTCCTCCCAAGGTCAGGATTACTTGTACTGTCTGTGCTGGGCACCAGGCTTCACTGACAAACAGGTGAGGCCAGAGAAGGGAACTGAGAGGAATCCCCAGTCCTGGGACATACAGAACTCCAGGATAAAGGAGCTGGATAAGTACAAACCATTGACAGGCTATGTTCATGGACTTTTAGGAATATCTGAGGTTAGCCAGCTCTCCTGCATCAGGGTTTGGAAGGAGATTAGAAAAAGAGAAAGAATCATGGGGTTCCATATGGGGAAACAACCTGCTACCGCAAGGCTTCAGTTCTGCTTTCTCCTCTGACGTGGGCATGGAACACAAAGGGGGAAGCCCTCTGTATCCAGCTTTCCAATTCACACATCACAATTGTTGTAGATATTTCCCCCTGCCCCCGGAAACTAAAATGTAAAGCTTACAAAATCTGCACTTCATGAGTAATATACCCACTTTTGTCCTCTGTAAGCATTTTCTAAGTAGGACTCCATCTGTTTTAGTTCTTGGTCAGTCAGTGCTTGAAGCTGTCCATCTCCCACTCCGTCTCGATACACAATGGTGGAATGTGGCAGAGATGAATTTTGTTCATACCAGAGCTTCAAGGCAGCTGAAAGGAAGTCAGAAACAATATAAATAAACCACAACTTGGAACAAAGTGGCCACTATTTTTGACAACTTCTGTGTTCATTTGTCAGCATGGTAGCTTTCAGGACACTGCTTAAGTCCTCAGTCTAGTCCATACTTAACAAGAGAATGAAAATTTTGAGCCATATAATTCTTTGTGGTGGTCAGGGGCAGAGAGTGTTGCTGTCCCATGCATGGTAAGACATTTAACAGCATCCCTAAACTTCTGTCCACTAGATGCCAATAGCACCTCTATCCCCACTGTGACAACCAAAAGTGTCTTCACTCATTGCCAGATGTCCCAGGTGGGGAAGCAGTATCTCCACCAGTATAGACTCAAGCCCTCCAGCCTCCACCAGGCACTGACTGTGCAAGCAGGTCGTCAGCCCATTGACAAGCTCCTGCCCCGATTGCTGGATGATGCATTGAGAGAACCACCTGTATGGAGAAAAATAAGCCATTAGTTTGGAAAACAAGATTAATTCAGAATCAAAATGATGAAATTAATCTATGACCAAAAAAAATTCACTATCAGTAGTTGAGGATCCAATTAAAGATCCATTATTATTTTTTTTTTTTTTTTGCGGTACGTGGGCCTCTCACTGTTGTGGCCTCTCCCGTTGCGGAGCACAGGCTCTGGACGCGCAGGCCTAGTGGCCATGGCTCATGGGCGTATCTGCTCCGTGGCATGTGGGATCTTCCCGGCCCGGGGCACGAACCCATGTCCCCTGCATCGGCAGGCAGGCTCTCAACCACTGTGCCACCAGGGAAGCCCTAAAGATCCATTCTTCATCCTGTTGCAGAGATCCAGGTATTGGTCTCTTCACATATCTTAGGAATTTTGTAACATTTTGAATGCACAGAAAGAGTAAGATAGAATGGAAACATTTGTTAACATTAACTACAAATTATACATGCTTTGAATACATATGACTCATATTGTTTCAGCTCCTGGGGAATTCCACAAAGTGCAAACCCAGTGTTTTTCTGGAGACTCCTACTTTAGTTCAATGTCTTAAACAATGGTTCATCCATATGAATCTGCTTTGGAGGGAGCAGTTTGCTTCAAAACAGTAATAGCTATTGTGACCACTGCTCAAGGTATCAAGTAAAATCACCTGTTTGTCTCGAGTTTCTATCCCCTTACTGCGTTTTTGTTTACTTCAGAGTATTAGAATGACCTGATAGGGTATGATGTATGTTTGCATCTTCATCTGAATCTGAACTCCAATGGATGGGATCAGGTATTTTGGCTTTACATTTTCACTGCTGCATTCTCAGTATTTACACATAGCAAGTGCTAAAAAATATCTATTGCATGAATGCAAGCTTAACTTTTTACCTATTATCACAACATTTTCTACTAAAAAAGGCAGAGTAAATCCATGTTACTGTATTTAGAGTATGACTGGGAAAAAAAAAAGATCCTTAAAGGATACTGTGGAATTATACCTGGTGGGCCACAAACAGCATTGAACATAGTGGTGGTTTGTGACTGTCCCACATACCATAATGCACAAGAGAAGAATATGCAAACCCATCTGCACTATGGGTTTTATTTTCTACTCTAAGCACAGAAAATAAAAGGTCCCTGGAGAAAAGGAGAATCATAGGATATAGAAGCACATCTCCTTATTCAGGTACATTATATACAAATTATGAAGACAAGATCTTATTATACCTACAGGCCACTGAGTATGTTCCCATATGTGTCTTCACCCACGTATATCCTAAGTGCTTCCTCATGTGTCCCTATGCAGAGGCTCACTGATCAAATTCTGCGGTTGGCAGAATTCTACCTGTCCTCATCCTTGGAACTTGTGAACATACTGAGATCTGGCCCCTGTGGTGATGTTATATGGCACAGTTGACTTTAGGATAAAGAGAGTCTCCAGATGGATGATATCCGACCTCATGAGCTCCTTTAAAATCAGCAAGTTTTCTTTGGCTGATGACAGAAGAGGAACATGGAGAGATTCAAAAGAGAACAATAGCACAGTGTGAATTGGCGGGTTGGAAGTTGGAGGGGAGACAGGGAGCACATCAGAAGGAACGCGGATGAAACTCTAGAAGCTGAGACTAACTGTAGGTGACAGCCAGCGAGGAAGTGGGGTCCTCTGTCCCACAATCACAAGAAAATTGGCTCTGTCACATCGACGTATGCTGGAAAGAGGATCCCAAGCTTCCAGGTGAGAATGTGGCTTATATGACACTTTTCACTCAGCCTTGGGACTTCCCTGGTGGTCCAGTGTTTAAGAATCTGCACTTCCTCCTCAGGGGGCATGGTTTCGATCCCTGGTCGGGGAACTAAGATCCCGCATGCTGAGCAGTGCAGCCAAAAAAACAAACAAAATCTTGGCCTTGTAAGGCCCTGAGAGCCACGCAGTGCCCAGCATCTGACCCACAGGACTGTCCATGGTCATGTGAGTGTCGTCTTAAGGTGCCATATTTTGTCATAGTTGTTAAGCAGCAATAGAGAATGATCAGAGGCTTCCATACAAAATGTTCTGGGAGCCTAACTTTGCCAGAAGATCAGGAGAGCACATCTCTAAGAACAACTTGTCCATGGAGCTTGCCAACAATGTGTGTTAGGTCCGCCTGTCCTATCTGGCCTCCAGATAGCTCCCCACTAAACACTGTCTGCCAAAGCTTACCCACCGCGTCAAGTCTGGATCGATGCTTGCCACAAATCCTGCGACTGACTTCCGTCAATGTATAATACCGTGGAAACAATCGATAGCAATGAACATTGCATTCTGCAACTTAAATTTTAAACAAGGTAGCAGATTGAGTTAGAACATGAAGCAAATTTCCAATTAAATAGGACCTTAACAAATTCTACCAAAGACGGATGAAAGCAAGAGAAGGCAACAAAATCCCCACGTACTTCTATATCCACCTTCCAGAGCGCACCTCCTAGCTTGCAGTTCATCTGCAGGGCAATCTTTGTAGCGATGGTCTCTCTAAGGTCCGTTTCAACACACACTGGCTTGGAATTGGGTAATTGACACACAGATGTCTTTTTACGCATCATAAATTTCTTTATTTTCAGTGGGCAGCAAGAAAAGGACCTTGAAAGAAAGCAAACATGACATTCCCCAAAATGCAAGAACACAATGACGTGAGAAATTGATGCGTGTCGAGGAAGCTATATAGGTGTAGCACTGACAAAGTAGAGACTATTTATTAAATAGATATCTGAATCCATGAGGGTGAAGGGTCTAGCATCACACTGCATTCAACAAGTGTGAGTGTGAGTGTATGGAAGAGACAGGCTGTGAGACAGGCATTTGGAAATATGCATCGATCCTTTAAACTTGCAAAACCCTTTCATCCTAGTCATTCCATTCCCAGGAGTCATTCCATTTCCAGAAGTTTATCATGAAGTCAACATGGACGGGTTAAAAACATAGACTGAACTATACCATCCTCAGGACAGTCACCGTCGATGGGATGATCACTCTGTGTGGGGCGCTTCCCAAGCATTCTACTTGATTCAGTTAATTCTCTCACCAATCGACTGAGATAAATACTGTTATCTGCCCCCACCAGCAAACAAACTTGGGGGCTGTTGTGGAAACTGCCTGATTTACAAGCAGCAGAGCAAGTTTCCAAACCCTCGCCAGGACCTCCAGTAGGACACTGAGCAGTTAAGAAGAGAGGCTACTGCTTGGCTTGTTTCCGACTAATGGGAAAAATCATCAGTATATTCTTTTTTTTTTTTTTTTTTTTTTTTTTTTTTTTTGTG